AACACGCCCACATACTCACGGGCTGGGAGCCGGCTCCTCTGGAGGAGGGAGGTAGAATGTTGGCAGAACTTCCCTGAGGAGTGTGTGTGTGTGTGTGTGTGTGTGTGTGGGCGGGGAGAGGGGGGGATTCTTAAAGGGCCACCACACAATTAGCCCCCTCGGCAAGGCCCCTAATGATACATCTAATTAGCAGCCCCCTAATTAGCAGCAACTTAGGCATAATTACAAACCCACCAGGATCCAAAGCGAAGACTCATGCCCTCTTCTCCCTCCCTTTTTCCTGGCTTCCAGAAGAAACGAGGACTACCTGGGAGTCAAGAATTCATGTCAAGCGTCTAACTCCCTCTCTCACGGGAGGGCCCTGGCCTGGAAAGTGCCCCCCACATCTAACCACCTGTCCGTCCTGCTGCGGTCCTCAAGGGAGACCAGAGTCAGCCAAGGGAGGTTCTCATGCCTGCCCTCCTTGCCTGGGGGGGTGGTCAAAGCGGCCTGGCCCAGTCCCTTTTTCTGCAAAACCTGAGGCCTTAGGGGAGGTGGGGGGGGGGTGTCAGGAAGAGAAGGTGCTAGATAAATATTTGTGAAATGAATGACCAAGAGGTCTGAGTCCTGTCGCTGGGGACAGCTGCACTTCCTCTGCTTAGAGGCGCCTGTCTCTCCTCTTCGTCCACCAGCAGCCCTGAAACCTAATCTGGGTTTAGAATCCGGGGGGGGGAGAAGGATCAGGTGGAGGCCAGGGTAGGAGTCCGGGGGGCAGATGGTGGCATCTCCCGATCTCCCCCCCGCCCTCGTGGGCAAGTGTCCAGCTGGGCCAGTGGTAAGCACGCCGGGGTCTGCCTCACACGCCTCTCGGGGCCTCAGAGACCTGTCTGGGGCAGGACTGCAAGCCTAAGGGAAGGGGTCCAGTCTGGCACGCCGGGTGGGACCCCGTCCCTCCCCCACATTGGCGAGCGAAGGGGGGGCTCCCGGTTGTGCTCGGTGGGGCCAGGGCTTGCCCACAGCGCCTCGGAGAGACTTTAGAGGTGGGGACCCGAGCTTCTAAACACACCCCCTTCCTGTCCCAGGGTGAACCACGTGCCAGGAGGCTCAGTGCTCCAGGGCTACCACACGCAGATGGGTAAACTGAGGGTCCGGAGGGAGAAAGAGCTTGGCCAGGTCACGCAGCTTCAGATCAGGGGCAGGGGAGAATGGACCCTCAAGGGGTGGGACTCCTAACCCAGTGCTCTTTTGAACCCACCCGGGCCCCACGTGGGTACTTGAGGACCTCACCCCATCACAGCGTGGGCTCCGCTCACACCTCTCCCCTTGTCACTCATTCTCGCCCACCTTTCTGGGTCCCCTTCCCCCCAGGAAAGAAGAGGATGTACTGGCCAGGGACTTCCGGACTCAGAGGGGCCCTCAGGGAGCCCCCAGGGGATGGGAATCCACCCCCCACCGAGAGATGGGGGGTCTGAGTCCCTGATGAGGCTGGTCTGCCCCGAGAGGGACGGAGGTAAGGCTGCAGAAAGGACCGGCCTGAGCCACCCCAGGACTTCAGTGCTGTGCCTGGCGGAGGAAAGGCGCCAGCAACTGTCAAAAGAATGGATGAGGCAAGCGATGGACAACCCCCGACAGACAAGGTATAGAAGTCAGACTGCAGGAGGGACTGGTCCAGCCTACGCGAAGAGGGAGGAGAGGGGCTCTGTCCTCGGGGGAGGGAGGCTGGGCGGGAGCTGGGCAGAAGAAGGGAGAGGAGTTTGGGGGACCCCGTGGCTTCTGGGGGGGCCCACTCTGGGGGGGTGGGGATCTTCTTCCGCCAGGTCTCCCCCGTGCCAGGGGCGGGGACAAAGGTGTGTAGGAGGAGAATTAACCCGCTACCAGTGAAGCGATAGACAGAGCGACAGAGACCACATACCTACAGACGAGATGAAGAGGAGAGACAGGGGCAGGGGAGAGACAGACAGAGACCCGCAGAGACAGAGACACGGGGGAGCAGAGACAGGAGGGAGAGAGACACACACAGATGGCGAAAGAGGAAGGCAGAGAGAAAGAGACCAAGGACTTAGAGACAGAGCCCCGAAAAGGCACAGAACAGACCCAGGCACAGAGGGAAACAGGGACAGAGGCGGGAGTGAGGGACTGACAGACAGAGACACTGGGGAAGGGACCCGGAGAGGCAGGCAGACTGTGCGGGACTGGACCCCTGAGAGATGTGGAGAGACAGACGGGACCCAGACGCAGGAAGGCGGGGGCGGAGGGAGAGAACGCGAAGGGGGGCTGCCCCAGACGGGCTGGGGTGTTCTCGAGGCACCCCCTCCCCAGCCCGCCATGCTCCCTGGAACCCCGGAGGGGCCGAGGATGTTGGCTGCTGGTGGCGCCCTGGCCCCACAGAAGGCACCCGGTGTCCCAGCCTGGGATATGCAGCCCCCCACCCCCCATAAATGAGCTCAGGGAAGAGCGGCTCCTGGCTCCTCAAATGTCCCCCTCCACCCGCCCGGGGCAATACCGTCCTTCCTCCATGCCCCCCCCCAGAACTGGGGGGTCTCTTACCTGCAGCTACAGCCTGGACCAGGTCCCCCTAGCACTGGGCTGCCGGAGGTGGGCGACTCCGCCCGACAGAGAAAGAGAAAGACAGACAGACAGAGAGGGAGAGAGAGAGAAGCTGGAGACTGAGAGGGAGAGCCGGGGAGGAGGGGAGGGAGAGGGGATAGAAGGAGGAGAGGAAGAGGGGGGAGGGACACGGGGGAGGGGGAGTCGGGAGAGAGGGAGGAGGAGGGGCGGGGGAGAGAGCTGGGAGGGAGGAGGAGCCGGAGAGGGAGGGGAGGAGGAGGAGGCGGGAGAAGGGAGGCAGGCGACAGGCGGGGGAGGCTTGGGGAGGGGCCTGGAGAGAGGAGGTTAGGGGGAGCCCAAGCCTCCCACCCCCCCTGCAGGTTCAGCACTACAGGCAAGGGACAGCGGCAGAGGGAGCTTGTGTATGGTGTGTGTGTGTGTGTGTGTGTGTGTGTGTGTGTGTGTGGTGTGGGGGTGGGGTGCTGAGGGTCATTAACCAGCATCCTTGCCCTCCCTCCCCCCCACACACACTGATCCATACAAGGGCCAAAGAGGCAAAAACAGCTACAAATAGTTACAGGCTCCCAGAACCAGGGGGAGGGCAAGAATGTTTAGCCAGAGTTAGATCCAAATTCACATGTGCCCGCCTCGGATAACCTCGCAAAGCGAGCCACCAACAACCACAAAGGCGCTCATCAGTAATAGTAACAGCAGCTGCTGTTCGAGCTGCCCTTTCCGTGTGCCAGGCAGTGTGACAGATTTTTTTTTGCAAGTGCTTGCCATGCCTTGACACCCCTGGTCCCACTAACTACCTTACTGCGAAGTAAATGCTCTCGGCCCCAGTTCGCAGATGGGGAAACTGAGGCACAGAGCGGCCACGTATGGCTTCGGGCTCCACACTCCTGACCGCTGCACTGCGCACTGCCCCAGACGGAGGAGCAAGGAAGAAGTCGGAAAGCAAATCGCAAGGGACCAGGCGAGTGTCCCAGACCCCGAAGACACACCATCAGGGGTCCTGAGGTGGACGCAGCTCTCTGCCTTGGCCGGCGGGCAGCGGGAGGGAGACCTTGCTCCTGCCCGTGCCCAGCGCCCACCGCCAGTCCGGGCTGGACACCCTGGGCAGGCTGCCAGGAGGCGAGGGAGGCCATGCAGCTCCCGGCCATTTCCCACGCTTGGGCCTGGGCTCTGGGAGGCGACAAGAGCAGCCAAGGATTGGTGGGCTCCGGCCTCCTAAAGCCCCACCTGATAGCTTGGTCTTGCTGATCAGCGTGGGTGGGCAGACTGCTGGGCGGACTTCCACGGCAGGAGGTAGTACAGATGGCCAGGACTCTGGTGCCTGTCCCTTCTGCCCCAGGAAGAGGGAGTCCCACCCAAACCCTGCTGCAGGGAGGAGAGGGCCCTTCCCTCCCCACCAGCCTGGGTCCTCCTCAGGAATTATTCCCCAACCCTCCTGCCCCAGAGGCTATTCCTGGCCCGCAGTGGGGGAGGGCAGGAGTTCTTCCGGTTCCAGCCCTGGCTGGTCCCTGAGATACAGGCCCCCGATTCCTCTTGCTAAAGAAGGGGCCGCAGGAGGGGCAATTCACACGGCCGGCAGAGCCAGGGCAATCTGCACCCCCAGCTCAAGCTCCCTGGTCCCTGGATCCCCTGGGCTTTCTGATCCCGTCTAACCTGTGTCCTTTGCAACACGGCACATCCCAGGTCTGTCCCCGCTGGGTCGCATCTCATCTCAGCACGCCCCAGCGGGGCTCTAAACTCAGTTGCTTTCTGCTGGGGAGGTCTAACCACAGTAATCTGCGAGGGTCCAACCTCAGCATTATTCATCCGGTGGGGAGGGGGTCTAGCCTCAGACCTTCTGCTGCAATTTGACCATAGCTTCCCCACAGAAGTCCTTCCCCTCCCCGCCCCCCATATCCTTTCCTCTGAGGCTGAAGCTCTGTATTTTCCCACCAGGGTCTAACCTCGGACCCAGGCCTCTCCACTGGGGTCCAACCTCAGTCATTTCCATCAGATTCTACAGTCTTTGGCATTGGTTTCACTGCAGCCTTTATGTCTGGGCCTCGTTTCTAGTCTCCTGCTCTGTTCCCTGAGGTCTACGCCACGATCTCACCTCCGTCCCTCTTCTAGGTCGAACCTTGGACTTTTCTCTCCCTGTATCCCCTGCCCTCCACTGTTCTGGGTGAATCCGGCACCTGACACGGAGCCTGGCACAGGGTGGGCGCTCACCAACCATTTGTCCGAACAAAAGAATGAAGGCGACTCAGAGTCTGGTTCCTCTGGACGTATAAATAATTGTTGGCTCACCAATTCTCATTGGGGACGGAAGAGGGGGGCTGGGGGAGATGACCCCGTTTCCGAAGGGGGACACTGAGGCACAGAGACAGAAGTGCATCAGCCGGGGTCACGGGGTGCATCGGGGCAGAGCCAGAGCAGGAACTCACAGCTCCGCCACCCTGGGGCGTCTGGGGAGCCCGTCCCCTCCTTCGGGATGCTTCCCTGCCATGAAGGGCTAAAGGTGACGGTCCCAGTGAATCACCCCTGCGTCTGGGGCCAGAGGTGGGTGGGAGCTCAGGTGGCCGGGGTCTCAGCAGGCCCTGGAGCCGCCCTGTCCCCAGGCCTTTGTGACTGGCGTCTCCTCTGCTGCGCTTGCTGCCGAAGCCGGGTCAGGACCAGCTCCGAGGCCTGGACCAGGCTGTGCTGTGGGGACAAGAAGAGGGCGGGGCTGAGGCGGCAGGAAGGGCGTAGGTTAGACCACGGGAGTGGGGGGGCGGAGGGGATGGGGGGACAGAGGCCGGGCCCTGCCAACAGAGAGCGGGCCAGCGGGACGGAGGAAGGGCCAGCTCCGTGAAACAGAGAGGAATGTGGTGTCACAGGAGGGACAGAGCGAGGCCCCGGCTGGCGGGTCTGCGGCTAGACCCTAACAGAAAGGGGAGAAGAGACTGCAGTGAGGCGGCCTGAGTGAGGGAAGAGGGTGAGGAGATGGTGAGACCACAGTAAAGGGTCCTTTCTCTCACAGTCGGACCACGGCCTCTTGCACTGGGATCTAACCTTTGCCCTTTCCATGAGGGTGTAACCTCAGACCTCTCCACGGGGCTCCAATGGTTCCCCTTTCTGCTGAGGTCTAACCTAGACCATTCTGTTGAGTCACACACGGTAGGAAAAGACCCAAGCAAAGACTTAGAGGAGGCGGTATGGTTAGCCTCCGGGAGAAAGAACCCAGGCTAGACCATACAGAGAGGGTCTTGGAGGCAGACCAGAAGCAAGGTGAGAGCCAACAGCACACTAGGAAACAAAGGCCTGAGAGGTGGGGGTGGAGCCACAGGGAAAAGGTCAGACGTGAGGCTGCATTAGTTGGAGGTTAAATGGAATGGGGGGGAGGGGGCTCTGGGTTGGACCCCGGACTATTGAACAGGTGGCTCCCAGACGCTAACAGAAGTTCCGGCAGTTAGGCCGCCATGGTGGGGGTCAACGTACAGCACAAGGCCGGACCACAGACCAAAGCTCAAGGGCCTGACTGCAACAGAAAGTTCTGAGGTTAGGCCATAGCGGAAAGGTTCAAGGTGAGACGCCGGGAAAGCCGGAGACTGACTGGAGGGGAGACTTCAGGAGGAGGGTAGGAAATGTCGCTCGAAGTCCAAACGCAACAGCAAGGTGGTCAGACCCCAGCCGGAGTGAAGTCGGCAGCACACAGAGGAGGGGGCGAGGCAGCGAGGAGAGTCCGTCCCCGCGGGAGGGCGGAGGTCAGACCCCAGCAGAAGGTCGGAGGTTAGATCACCAGGTGGGGGTGGGGGCAGGTCTGGGCGAGGCTACAGCGAAGGGACGGAGGCGGACAAAGCACGAGGAACCAAGGGCTGAAGTCAGGATGCCGAGCAGCCCCCTTTGCCACGATGGGCCACCCCCAGCCAGCGGCCTCCTCTCCTCCCAGAAGCAGGTTATTCCTTCCTCCAGGAGGGGGGCCTGCGGCCAACGACCCTGTGCCTGAACCTGAACGCTGGGCTCCAGCTGCAGGGCTCCTGTGGGGTCGGGCCCCTGACACCACCTCCCGCATGGCTTCTCCCCGTGGCCCCTGACGTGTTTCCTGTGGGAGCACCGCCGTCGAGAAGGCTGGGGAGCGAACCCCCCCATCTCGGGCTCTGCTGCAGGGGCGCCCCCCGACCTGAGAAGCCCAGTTCTACCTGCAGGATGTGCACGCCCTTCAGGGAGACCACGGCGAGCTCCCGCAGCCCGTCCCCGGTCAGGTCCACGTGTGCCAGCGCCAGCAGCGGGCTGGAAAAGCCACGCCGCCACAGCAGGTGGAATCCACGCTCGGCCTCGGGGAGCCCGGACTCCGGGCCGCGGTACTTGTAACAGAGCAGCTCCTGGGCCGGGCGAGGGGTCAGGACCACGTGGGTAGGGGTGCGGAAGGGGGGGCAGTGGGAGGGGACGGGGGAGGCGGCCCCACCCCTCCAGTCCCACCTGTCCGTAGGTGGCCACCAGGACTTCGGGGCGCCCGTCCAGATCTATGTCGGTGACCAAGCCGCAGAGGACGCTGTCAAACTGGTCACTGGCGGGCAGGAGAAGCTGGTCCTCAAGGCCTCGGCTCAGCAGGTCCCTGGGGGTCACGGAGGCGGTGGGGAGACTGTGGTCACCACGCGTGGCCCACGCTGCTCCCCTGCTCGGGCCTGGGCACCCTCGTCTCCATCCCAGACATTTGCACATCCATCAAGCTGCTCACTCAGACTGTCTGCTAGTTATTCCCCACTATGGACGCCCACACTGTCCCCTGGAGGCGGGACCATCTCCCTCCGGAATGGAGGTGACACCCTGGGCTCCAGTCTGGACACCCACATTGCCTCCTGGAGCCCGTGGCTGGCCGGTGTCAGGTTGGTGGCTCAAAACCCACCATGCTGGGAGTTACTTACACCCCAGAAATGGCAAACGGTACACACGAGCGCTTTCTCACTCACTGAGCCAGCTGTTAAACATCTGCCAACATGCGCCTCCTAGGGGAGCAGCCCTTTCCGTCCCTGCCCCCTCGTCCCGAGGCTTCAATGGATCCGCTTCAAGTTCTAGACCCAAACACTCACCCTCGCCCTCCCTGGGGCGTGAACACCTTTACCTGCCCAGCCCTGGACCACCTCACCCGAGGGGACTTCCTCCTGAGAATGACCGCGTGCGGAAGGAGGTCAGGCCGCCCCGTGTGTCCGCCCCACGGGCCACTCACCGATACACCACCGCTGGCTCCAACATGCTGGCCACGAGCACACTGTACTCTTCCCGCTGTGGCCGGTCCTGGGTTTCTGGAGAAGGGATTCGAGTGGGGCGGGGCCTGAGGGGACAGGCTCCAGGCTCCCCCCCCCCCCCCCCCCCCCCCCCCGCTCCATGAGAGGAGGAAGACCCTACCTATGCCGTGCTACGGAGAGAAGCTTCGAGGTTAGACCACAAGATGATGGGAAGAATAGATGCGAGGCCAGAGAGGGAGGGAGAGGAGTCAAGACCTGACCCAAGGGGCAGAAGGCAGCCCGCAGGGGTAACGCGAGGGGAGCTGCCAGAGAAGGGCAGGTCACAGCAAGAGGGACAGAGCAGCACGCAGTGGGGAGAGGGGGGAACGAGCTGAGGGTTAGCACTGAGTCCCCAGGAAAAGCTCGGGGGCAGATCAAAGCAAGAGACAGAGTGAGGAGGCCACAGAGGGGGATTGGAGGAAGTCACAATGTGAGGGCTGATGGTTAGACCAAGGGAAAGGCACAAGGTCAACTCCAGGGTAAAAGACGAAGATTAGAATTCAGGGGCAAGTCACTGACATGAAATGTGAGAGCACGGAGAGGTGGGAGAGGCCACGGGAGGGATAAGCGGGGGCTGGACGCTCTGGGACAGGGGTGTGAATCTGGGATTGGGAAGCTGAGTCTGCAGAGTGGCGCGCCCCCCCCCCCCCCCCCCCGCTTCGAGCTCACCCTCGGGGGCTGAGAGGCTGAACACGATCACTCGGGAGATGGGGCCGTCCTGCAGGATCGCCCATGTCTGTAGAACCTCTGTGTGGACGGTGAGGCATCAGGGCCCTGCCCCAGGCCCACCCACTCGCCCCCCACCAGGTCCCCATCCTGTCCATCACCTTGACTTCGCTGGTCCACGTGGGCCACTCGGACATAACCGCTCTGACAGCCCAGAGCTGAGAGTCGCCGGGACGTGCCGGGGAGATTATGGACATCAAGCCAGAGGACGCTGGTGGGCGGAGGGGCCGGAGGGCGTCATCAGATACGGGCCCCACATTCTGCCTCCTGAGGACCATCCACACCCTTCCTGTAGCCCTGGGACCCCGCTGGGCCTTGGTTTCTCCGAGGTTACTGCTACCACCTGCTTTCTCTCCGGGGTCAATTGCAACCACGGGGTTTCACGTTCTCTCTGGGATCACCACCACCGACCAATTTCTCCGACATCCACCGCATGTCTGCCACCCGAGTTTTCTGGGCTCACCTCCCTTGCCCAGTTTCCCTGAGGTCATCCCTGTCTCTGCTGTCCCTGAGGGCTTTCCCACCGCCTGATTTCTCGGAGGCCGCCTCCCCGGGGCCGCCCGCCGGCCTCTTTCAGGAGCCCTCTTACCTACTGGTCAGATTCGTGAGCTCTGGGAAGAGGTTTTCCACGGGCTGTTCTTCAAACTGATGCAGCCCCTCGTTCTGGGGGAACCAAGACCAGAACCCCCAACTTGGGATGTGTCACTGGCCAGTTCACACACAGAGCCCAGCACCTGCTCATGGCAGCCTGAGAGCCGGGCTCTGCCCACCGCGCCTCCCTCTGACTCACCTCCTTGTAGAGATGAATGGCCGGGTCATTCCCGCTCAGGAGAAACACCGTCTCCAGCTGATTCCCGACCTGGACCCTGGAAGCAGAGAAATCTAGAACCCCAGTGTGGTGGAGTCCACGTACGGAATCTTCCAACCTCAGAATTGTAGAAACCTTCTGATTCTAGAGCCCTTGCTTGCTAGAGTCCTCACTCTGGATGTGGGTTCAGGAATGGAACATGGAGCTCTAGAAAAGGCTGCAGGAACCCAGAGCACTAGACTCATTAATCTAGAACTCCAGGGCTCCCGAAGTTCTGTTTCCTGTTTCCTATGAAATACCAGAACTTTTAGAAATGGCCATTGTGGACACTGAGAGTCATAAAATGGTGAGACATCCAAATCCTAGAATCCAGAACATTGGTTTCTAGAATTCTCACCCGTTAGACCAGAAGCTGGCAAGTTATGACCTACTGACCAAACGCAACTTACTGATTCTTGTCAAATAAAGGCTGTCTTGGAGCACAGCCACACCGTTCATTTACATAGTGTGGGTGGCTGTGCTCGTCTGTGATGGTGGACTTGAGTCGTTATGATAAAGACTGGCCCTTAGTTAACAGAGAAACTTTGCCAACTGTTGTGCTAGACCACCGGTGTTCTAGAATGGAATCCAGAGCTCTAGACTGGAATTCTCCTATTTTGGGATTCTAGAACCTCACATTCTAGATGTTCTGTCTTCCATCTCCTTGAAATACGAGGATGGGATATAGGAGAATGAGTTTATCATGACAGGATCTCTGAATTACCAAACAGCAGAATCTTAAAATCTTGGAATCTCAGAACTTACACCCCCTGGGTCCTTGAGTGTCCACATCAAGACCATCAGAACCCAAGCATTCTGGATGCCTAGGACACGGGTGCTCAGCACTCAGAAGCTCTAACAAAATGGTAGCCTGCCAGCCAAGGCTGGTCCGTAGCTGCCTTAAAAGCACAGTGCTCTCAAAAACAAAACTAGAGTCTGACTTACAGTCTACTGGCAGGTTTGCTGCCTCGTTTGCTAGAGCCTCCCCCCTACACACACACGCACGCGCGCGCACACATTCTACTGTACTACACCTGTGGCTTACATACTCTGCATGGCACAGCTGGAAAGGAGTGAACTGGAGTTCCAGGTTCAGGCAGCTCTCTGTAAGGGGAGTGCAGGCAGATGGGACACCAGGGACCTGCCAGGTCCCCCCTCCCATCTTCCCCAGCCCTCCTTCCCTCGAGGCCACACTTACGGGCAATGGAGTCAAGATTGTACTCAGAGCCGGGCTCGTAGTCGCAGTAAATGTTAAGAAACGGGCTGCCCTTGTCTCCTGAATCCTGGGATGGGAAACTGGCCTCAGGAAAGAGCCGGGGCATCCAGGGGGACTTGGGTCAGACTCAGGGGGATCGGCCACGTGTGTAAGGGAAGGGGATGGGTAGGCAGGTGGGGGGCCTGGTACCTTGATGAACGTGATCCCCACAACCAGACCCCGCTTTGGGGGTGATTTGTTGAAGGTGTCGATGGAGACAATCTCTGCGTCCACTGGGAGGGGACAGTTCAAAGTTCGCGTTTCAGGCGGGCTTCTGACCCCTATATCCCCAATCATGGTGACCCCTGACCTCTAGTAGTCACTAATCTCCGACCACTGCAATCATCATTACTTCTGGCTCCCGGTGAGTCCTGATCATTGTACCCACGGTATGAGGGATCCTAACCTCTAGGTCTGAGGAATCCTGAACCCTACCCATTGACACCAATGCCTCTTGATTATCAGCCTTCACCCCTTTCAGTCACCCGGATCCCAGTCTCCCATCATGGTGTGACCCAGCTCAGAGCCTCAGAAGCGTTCTCAACACCACGTTCCAGGGCCCCCAACCGCATGGCGCCACGCACCGGGAATGTAGTTGAACTGCAGCTCCTTGGCCACGGGCCGGATTTTCTGTCGGAGGTCCTGGTAGCGGAAGCCCAGCACCTTGCCTTTAAGAGTGGCGGCCAGCAGCTCCCCGCGCCCGCCCGCGCCGCCCGCCAGCCCGTACACATTGCTCTGCGACGAGAAGCGCGTGAAGCTATCCTCGCGCAGTGGGCAAGGCCCCGCGGCCACGGCCGCCTCTCCCATCCCGCCCCTCCACCGCTCACCCCGGCAGCGCCCGCCGCCGCCCGCCCTACCCCACCCCACCCACTGCTCCCGAAGCGACCAGGACCGCCGGGTGCTCGCCCGTCGCGCAGACTGATGACGTAGAGAAGCCGCCGTCGCTGCCCTTTACCAAGATGGCCACCCGCCCGGCTGCCAGGGCTTCCCATAAGACGCCCCCATCGCGCCTGCGCGCTCTTCCCCGCCTCTTTCAGAGTCAAGAAGAGGGGCCCGCCAGCACATTGTGGCCTGAAGTTGCAGAGGTGGCAGCCCTCGCTGTGGATTGTATGGCGGATAGAATAATAAGAATCCTAAAACTCAATATAGTTCTTATGTGTCAGGAACTGTTCTAAGCGTTTTGCACCTGTCGATTTATTTAAAACCGACGAGTTGGGGCGCCTGGGTGGCTCAGTTGGTTAAGTGTCCGACTTTGCTCAGGTCACGATCTCAGGGTTTGTAAGTTTGAGCCCCGCGTTGGGCTCTGTGCTGACAGCTTGGAGCCTGGAGCCTGCTTCAGATTCTATGTCTCCCTCCCTCCCCCCCTCTGCCCCTCCCATTCTCATGCTTTGTCTCTCTCAATAATAAATAAAAACGTTAAAAAAAAATTTAAACCCATGAGCAGGCTGAGGTAGGTGCTATGTTTTATGATGGAATCCAGACGTAGGAGGCCAGTTGTCTAAGATCACACAGCTTCACTAAGAAGCAGTATTGGAATCCAAGCAAGATAGTTCCATAGTTTGTTTTTTTAATCACATGACCTTTAAAATGGTGAGATGCATTCCTATCCAAGGAAAAAGGATCTGGCCGTCTGTCCTGACAGATAAGCACCTCCTTTATTGAATACTTTGTGCGAGTCATCTTGGCCATGATTATCTCTGAATCCTGACAACCACCACCCAGTCCATCTACTCAGCATTTATTGAGCACTTACTATGTGCTGGGATATTGTAAGCTCTCAATAATCCTTAAATGAGCATAGTAAGTGCTCATTTAGCTCAATGAGCTGTTGCAACCGCACAAAGAGATTGCTTCTCCCAATATACAGAGGATGAAATTGAGGCTCTGATATGCTATTATATGGTGGAGACTGGACCTTGACCAGGTGTTTCTGACCCAGTGGTCTTCAAGGGGTTCATATATGTGATTTTTCTTTTTTTTTTTGTCTCTAGAAGGGCATCAGGGACTTGGGGACTCTATACACCTGTAAACCATTTCCGGGAGACACGAGTTGTCCAACTGTTCTAGCCACATGGAAGAATCTTGTCACCACTACCCCCAACCCCTGCAGAAACATGCGTGTGCGCGCACAAACACACATGTGTGCACGCACACGGACTGCAAGATCCGTGAAGGCAGAGACCGTATCTCCCTTGGTCATAGTCAGATATCCCGCACCTGGACCACACGTCCGGACACAAAGCCTTCAGTAAACATGTGTTAAAGATCCACAAACTCTGTGCCGGGCCCTTTGCCAATCACCAAGTACTTTTTTTTTTTTGAGAGAGAGAGAGGGAGAGAGAGCAGGAGTCGGGGAGGGGCAGAGAGAGAGGGAGAATCCCAAGCAGGCTCCACACTCGGCGAGGGGCCCGACGTGGGGCTTGATCCCACCACCCTGAGATCATGACCTGAGCCAAAATCAAGAGTTGGACGCTCAACCCAACCGAGCCACCCAGGCACCCCAATGAGGATGTTGTAACAAAGGCAACATAAGAGGAAACTTCTCAAAGGTGGACAGTGGTGAAGAGGGGTTTCGTGTCCATTCCAGACTTCGGGATTTTCAATTCCTGCCCTCTGAGAGGGCAGGTCTGGGGATGTGGTTAGACCAGGCGTGACATACGGTAGGTGCTTAGTAAATACTTGCTGAGTAGAATGTAGTGTCTGATCTGCTTCTGAACAATGCTTTCCTCAGGCTTCGACCTCACGTGGTAACCTCTAAACTACACTTAATATTTCTTGAGTGAATAAAAGAAGTTACTTACAGGTTGGAAAGGAAAGAACTGTCCTGTTTAGTGATTTCCATCTCTAGTTGCAAATTTGAATCTAGTTGCTGTGGAATTTTCAGGAAAAAAAACCCAAAAAACAAAAAACCCCAGAAGAGTGGGTAACTTCCACCAAATCCCAGTCTACTGTGCTGTGACCCAAGCCTGTGTACTTTTAATGATTTTAAGCACAGCCACTGATGGCAGCAACAGATTCAGGCACCACTCACCTTCAGCCTGTGCCCACAGCAGACATTAGTAATCGATCTCAGCTCTCCAGAGTTGTAACTGAGCTCTAGGCAGCTATCATCAATCCACTGGAGCTGCGGGAGGAGCTGAAGGGGACAGGACCAGGGCAGGGTGTCAGAGTCCACTCTTTCTCAAACTTCTGTGAACCTGAACCTTTCTTGAGCTTCTTCCAGGCTGTCGTGTGGAGCATCTCTCTGAGGGGCCTGACCAGGTCTCCCAGGCAGCCCCTCCTCGGGCTGCTCCCCTGCCCCCGCCCCCCCATTCACTTCCTATTGTTCCAGGGCTTGGTGACTCTGGGTGCCATGAGCACTGGGCCTCCTCCAGCTCCAGACCCCCGACAGTGAGCAGGCCCCAGCCCCGTGTCAGGCACAACGCACGCGCATTGGACTGCTCACCTACATGCACGCCTACGCTGTGGGGTGCGGACAAGGCGGGTGGTTCTGGCCCCCCTTTCCAGGGCAGATGACTCCCGTCGTTCCCCATTCTGATACCCACTCGTTCCTCGGCCCCGCCCACCTACGACGTCTCCCGCCTTGTCCTGGGACGCCCAGAACAAAGGCTACCGGGGCTTTCAACCCTCCTTTCAGGGCAATGCGGAGACGAAGGGAGGCCGGGAGGTTCGGTGGGCCTCTTCCACCCTTCTTACTGCTGGTCTGGTCGCCCTCCATCCTCCAGCCGGCTGAGGGCTGACCCCACCACCCACTGTCCCAGGGGAGGCAACTGAGGTCCACGGAACCCAGGGGACACGGGATCAGGCAGGTGAGCCCAGACTGCCAAGCCCGTAGCCCCCCTCACCCCGAGTCACAGGCACATTCACCCTCTTCTTCCCCACAAAGTGTGCTCAGAGCTCAGGGTGGGGACCAGGAGGGACGGGAAGACAGGACACCAGCCCTGGAGGGACAAGGGGGCAGCAGAGGCGAGGAGGAAGACAGACTCATGCGAAGTGTTCTTTTTTATTTTCTTTCTCAGGCCAGCTGCAGCTTCCGACCACGAAACCTCAAAGCACTAGGGAAGCGCAGACGTTGGGGGGGCGCGGGGGGGCCCTCTGAGCTCCAGGGCCTTGATGCATCTATCCTGAGAGGTCGGGGCTGCAGGAGGCTGTGCAGGCTCCCAGCACTGGGGGGGAAGGAGCCCGCCCCCGTGGGGAGAGCAAATCTCAGCGGCTACGTGTGCTCGGGGCTCGGCCGGAGGACAAGTGGGAAAGGCGGAAGCCAGCCTCGCCACCCGGCTGGTCAGGAGCGGGGGGACCAGATGCTGACTCCCCACCCCTGGCGGCACCCACAGCAAGTAGGCCTGTCTCAAAGACTCTGTGGTTCGGTGTGGAGGAGGGCACCTTTGGGGGGGGGAGGCCTTAAATAAACGGGAAGGAGGCGAGGGACACAGCGAGGACAGGGGGACTGTCCGGCTGGCAGGCCCGGCCTCGGGGGCCCCACGGCAGCGCTGAGCCCACCCTGCGGCTTTCGGAGACTCCTCCGCGGGACGGGAGCAGGGGGGCGTCTCACAGCCGAGGTGTCGGCCTCACGTCTCTGGACTCACGCGCTGGTGGGGCGCGGGGGTGGAGCAGACGGGGCAGGAAGACAGGCGCCAGGGGCTGGGGGGCCTAACGCAGGTCCTCCTCGTCACCCTGGATCGTCTTCTTGATGCGCAGCAGCATGGTGGTGAGCCACTGGTCCAGCCGGGAGATGGAGTCGTAATCCTTCACCTGCGACACAAGGCAGAGGTGACGGAGGGGGCCGGTCCCACGCCCGCCCCGACTCCCTCCTCGGGCCTGGTCCCAGAGCCTCTGGTCCCCAAGTTCTCTAGATGTGTCCCAGCCAGCCTCGCGGAGGAGGAGCGAGGGGAGGGGCTCCCTCTAAGGCTTCCCTGAGGAAAGAAAAGACTTCGCAGCACAAAGTGGCTCAGTGTCCTCGTTTTCTGGACGGGAAACAGGCCTGGATGCGTGAAGGCGGCCCGTTCCCAGCGCCACGGGGATGGGGGCCTGTGGCCCTGGGTGGCCCTGCTTCTCCTTTCTCCATGGCAGGGGCTCCCCGTGTCCCGCCTGCCGTCTGGGGCAGGATGGACCGCAGGGACTCTGGTCCCTGTCATCGTTGGCGGTGTAGGATTCCTGAGGGGCCCCCAGGAGATGTGCTGGACAGATACAGTCTAGACACCGGAATCTGGACCTGAGCTGGGCCCAGGAGAGTTCCAGAATGTTCAGAACAGAGTAAGGAAAGGGAGAAACACCTCCGTGGGGCGGTTCTGTCCCTTCCACGACTCGTCTCCCTCCCTCCCCAGGGCTCTCTGAGTCCTGACCTTGGCCTTCAGGGGCAGACACACACATGGGTCTGCAGCCCAGCTCGGCCTCCTCACCTCGCCTCAGTGCCACCATCTCTAATGCAGGGAGCACACCTCCCTGTACCTCTGGGGCTCCTTGTGAGAATTCTGGGGTGACTGGAGAAAGGAGTTCACAGCCAGGGCGGGAGATAGGGCGGGTTCCCGTTAGGGGGTGTCTGAGGAGGGCGGCCCCCCCACAGCCACTCACCGCTTCAGTGTAGCTGTCAATGTTCTGCTCCTCATGGGCATCCAGCAATTTCTGCAAGAAAATGGCAGGCAGATGGGTCAGGGGCCAAGGGCGGCCGCACGCCTGACGTGGATCAGACCCACACATACGGCACGTGGCAGTGCGGGTCAGGGCCCCCCCCCCATGCTGGGAGGAAGGAAGGGGCGGTTTGCAGCCCCGCCCTGTGTACATGCGTGCACGCAATGACACAGCCTCCT